TAGTCCAATCTGAATAATAATTAATAAGTTGATCAACAGTGGATTCTTCAGCCATTACATGCGCCGACATTGCCTTCTTTATTTCCAAGAGATGGGGGTCAGGACCTTGTACATCAGCGGCAGGCCAACACTCTTTCGGCTCCTTGAGAAAACGTGGACCCTCCTCCCGTACCTTGACATCATCGATGTTAAACTTGACCCCTCTGGATGCAAAGTCTGCTATGTTTTCTTTAGAAGGTACGAATCTCCATTGGTCCACCTTAGTAAGACTGTGAATAGTCGAAATTCGATTTGCTATGAATGTTTTAAACTGGCTTTCCTCATTTCTAATGTAGTGTAAGACAATCATGGAATCCGTCCAAAAATTAACCTCTGCAAACTTAATGTCTAATTCTGATTGCAGCTGGTATCCCATGCGAGCTGCTAAAACTGCTGCCGTCAGTTCCAAGCGCGGTATAGTTTGGACCTTCAAGGGGGCTACTCTTGCCTTAGCCATAACAAGACGAGGACATATTTCAGTGTCAGAAATGTAAGGGCGGACGTATGCTACTGCACCATATCCAGTTTCCGATGCATCACTGAAAATATGAAGTTCCAGGAGCGAACGATCTGATTGCGGAAACAATACACAACGTGGAAAGCTAACGTTTTCAACCCTTTTAAATTCACTTAAAATCTCTAACCAACGTTTGCTTTCCTCATTTGGAACCTCTTCGTCCCATCCTAGTCCCAATTTACCTAAACACTGAAGTAACTGCTTCATGGGAAGTATAAACGGTGCTACCAATCCCAGAGGATCGTAAAGTGAGGGTACACTTGACAATATACCTCGCCTAGTGAGGGGGCGTTTCGGTATGCGAACTTTAAATTCAAACGAATCAACCATAGTATTCTAAAATAATCCCAATGTGCGTTCCGTAGGGAGTCTTTCAAAGTCAATCTCTCTTACGGCTTCTGCTCTCTCTTCTGGATGAATTGATTCGAGAACTTGTAAACAGTTACTTATCCACTTGGTAAGTCTAAACCCACCTTTTCTGAGGAGAGAACCAAGGGCCTTTGCCAGCTCAATTGCATCCTGTACATTATCAATAGAGGCTAAATAGTCGTCGACATAGAAACTCCTATCTACAACATCCTGGATATCTTCATTGAATTTCTTACCGAATATATCTACCGTCTTCTTAAGAGCGAAATTAGCGCAAAAGGGAGAGGACACGTCTCCAAACGGATGAACTGTTAAACAATATTCCTTAGCCGTTCGTCGCATATCACCGTCTTCCCACCACAATAGACGAAATGCTCCCCTGTCTTGTCTCGGGATCTTTACTTGAAGAAACATCTCTTCGATATCAGCAGCTAATGCTACGTTACCTAATCTGAATCGTAGAAGTACACCAATTAAACTATTTACAGTATTCGGTCCTCTCAAAAGCTGGTCATTAAGAGAACAACCTTGATAGACAGCCGCACAATCAAAAACAATTCTCAATTTTCCAGGCTTTTTAGGGTTGATAACAGGATGATGAGGAATATATCAACAAACAGCATCACCGTCAAATCCCTCTTCACCAGCTTCAATGATGTAGCCCTTACCTAAATGTCTATTCATCACTTGATATTTCTCCAGAAGACTGTTATCTTTCATAAACCTCTTCCTTAAGCATTCTAGTCTGCGTTCAGCTAGTTCCAAATTATTCAGTAGCCTTGGCTTATCATACTTCCATGGTAGACCAACTTGGAAATGACCACCCTCCAGTCTAAACGAACTGCTAACTATTTCTAGAGCCTTTTTATCTTCGACAGAATACCCATTACGAAACTTATTTGTATCCTCTAACTCATGATCATATAATCTTCCTAAATCTCGCAAAATATCATCAGTGGAACAATGACACCACTGAACTTGATGTAGAGACCTTGATACTCCCTTAGGACCTATAATCATCCAACCAAGATGAGTACGCACAGCAAACGGATGCTTCCTGTCCCCCAGACGTTGTTCCAGGACCCAATGTGCATCCGGAGCATCACACCCAATCAATATTCCTACAAAATTACTTTGCAACCTCGGAAGGGTTATGTCCTTTAAATGTTTCCATCGTTTCAGTTGGAGTTCGGTTAATGGAGCTGCATGATCGATCGGAAGTTTCTTGGTCGTGTAAACTTTGTTGATCCTTATAGAACCCCGTTCATCTAATGAAAATACCTCTAAATTTACCTCCAAGCATTCACAATTGGTAGTTCCGTTGACAGTCGCCACCCTTATCGAAGTCTCTTTACCTTTGATACCCAACTAATTAATTAATTCTTCACATACAAGAGAAGTGTCCGAACCACTATCTAGAAGTGCATATGTTTCCAAACATCCTTTGAGACCGTATAGTCTGACTGGAACGATCCCCAAACAAACCTTTGAGGAGTTCCAATCCTTTGCTAGGTTCACCACATGGTTATCAATACTATCAATATGCAATAATGAATTATGCCTAACCTTGCAATTCTCAACGTCGCACCTGATGCCTGAGTTGCATGTCATAGCTATGTGACCTTTCCTCAAACATAAGTAACATAGACCACGTTTTCTTACCACATGCCTCCTTTCTCTTACATTCATTTTTGCTAACCTTGGACAATCTGTCGCCTCATGATCACCTACGCAGATTTCACAACGTGATACCTTGACTGAGCTATTTGGGTATCGTCTAATTGCAATGAAAGCGTGATCTATCAGCTTGGCCTTCAGAATTCCTTTTACCGAACCTTGCGTTGCACTGTACTAATCTACCATAACGGGTTCGGGCCCTCTTTTCTACAAAGACCACAAATTCTTCAAAGCTCGGCTCCTTCCCATACATCATGATCTTATCGGCGACTTCCACCCACTTATTCTGCAATTCTAGTGGTAGGCAAGAAACTATTACCTCCAAATTAGCCGTAGAATTAACGTCAGACATATATCCCATTTGCTTCAACGTTATACATACATTACGCAACTTAATCGCAAAGTCAGTTAATACGTCAGCCGATCCTCCGACAGGTTAATGGTTTAATAACTCAATAATTAGTTCTCGTGCAACAAGATGTTCTTTACCAAATAAATCATACAAAATTCGTTTAGCCCTATCATAGCCCAAATGACTGGGCAAAGAAACGCAAGATTCAATTGCTGTTCTGGCCTTTCCCTTGCAATAATATAACAAATACGACAACAATTGGCCCTTATCTGACAGTTAATTCTCTATAAGGCTATTAAACTGACTAATGAAACGGTAATACTGACCCGGTTGCCCATCAAAGTACATCATATCGATCTTAGGTAAAACCATGTTACTAACCATTGTATGTAACGTGTCCTTCAGCTACCCAACCCAATCGACCTTTGTGATGTTACATACCTCCTCTGAGTGATTATTACACCCAGTATCACAATCCAAATAATTTTCCACTTTAGCATTTATCCCACATTTATCTACGGGTAATCGTTCATCGTCCTCGATGGCCTTGCATTCTAGTTCAGCGATATCAACCTCTTCTTGTAGATCTAACATCTTAAGTTGCCGTTCTAATTCAAGTCTCTTCTCTAAATTCCTTTTCCTCAGTAATGCTTTATCCGACTTTAATCTAGAAGTACTTAGTTGGCTAGAGGACATACTATTAAGACTAACATCATCACATTTATCATCATTAACATCAGACATACCACAAACAGCTTTGGAAGTTTTACCATCCGTTTCGTCATTTTCCTTCAGCCTTTTGCTTCGTATTTCCATCGTATTTGTTGTTCTAAATAATCAATTACCAAAACAAATCTGAATTAATCCAAATAAACCGACCAATAAGACCAGGAGTTTGGACCCAAAATATCCAGACAAATCCACGGTATGAAGACAGAACCAATAATTGAAGAACTTTATGTTGCGTACAAGTTTTGCTCGTTCCAGTTATTGAAGTACGGACTATCGATCTACTTGCAAATTACGAAATTAAATTAACAACAGAACCAAGTTCCAATTTAGATACCAAATTTATTCGTATTTCACAAATAATCGACCAAATGTCTTCAATTCCCCCATAACAGTCTACTGACGTTTGTCTGCGTGGAAACTCGACAGAGGAACAGAAGTGATCGCAATGTCGAGGGGAATTTATGGCTTTATTGTCGTGTAGCAATGATCTAGGAGCAATAATGAATCTCGGCATGAAGACCGTGGCTCATTGCTTCGTGAGCACAGCCAGAATGTTCGAAAACTTATGGGGATTGAGATAAATATTCACTAAGTTGGATACAAATATGCTCTTCATAGTATACACAACTTTTATGAGAGTCAAAACAGGGGACTGTATTCATGCCAATAGATCCAGTTTATAAGTTGACTCGGACATCCTTGAAACAGCATGGAGGACAACTACAATTCCGGAATTCTGAGGCTTACCATGCAGAGCGGTCCGGGAAGTTAAATCTTCTTACCTCGTCTTGCCGTAGACCGGTGTGTTCCGTTTTGGATTATAGGATTATAAGAAGTGAATTCGAACCTCTTCTTTCCCACTAGATATATCAGAGGACATGATAGGTGTATTCACAAATTCAAGAACAAGCAAAATGTCTGGGATGTGCAGTTTCTCACTAAGTAATCAACTTTGGACCTACTATCGAAAACAGTGGTATATACACCTTCAACTGACTCAATCAGGAGAGTACTAGACGGTCATAGAAGTATTCTAAAAAATAGGCGACACAGGTCTTTGGACCTCTGCCTTAAATCTGACTCGCGGACTACTCACAACCGTTTTCTGTGTTTAGTCAAGATTGAGTTCGGAAAATCTCCCACAAAATATTTGCATAGATATGTCTCTCTCGAAACGTTTCCAAAGAAGGATGTCTGTGATGGTACTAGGAGTAGAAGATGGACGATTTTCCTCAGGTACTCTGAGATTACTGCCATGTGTTACTCTTCATTAGCTTATGCTACGATTAACCAGCAATTTTCTGCTTTACATTCCGAAGAAACACCTTATGAACTAATCTTCTTTGAAACAAGAACGTTCTATTACTATCCAGAAGAAGATCTCATGAAACAAGCAGTTCCATATCACGACAGAACGGCCTTCCGGTGATTCCAGCTTTCTAATGGTTATTTAGCTTAGATCGGTTCGATATTTCAACAGGATACGTTACTATCGCGGAAAAATTTGAGGCTTGAAGCTATACCGTATTTCAAGGTCAGACCAGCGAACGCTAATGAACTGATTGTGACAAGTTCTTTTGAGGCGGGTTCATATTTCTTAGTTTATGTCTCCAAATCAAGTATATAGATAATAATAAGTAATTACAGATCCAACTAAGATATATTACGGTTTATTTTATTTGCCCGAAAATTTATCTAAAACTCACTTCTTGTTTTTAGAAACTGGTTAACATTTGTAAGCGACCAGTTGTTAGCTTTCAAGAACTGAAATTGTGATTACATGGTGTAAGGTTTCTCTGTGTTAAAACTTCGCCTTGAATCTTTATCCTTCGGTCTTCAGTAGTATATACTACGTAATAATTATTACGTTTTTGAACCATTTTTCTAAAATTTTCCATAGCGGCTTCCTCGAAATATACAAAGTTTTCCCCCAAAATAGTGAGACTAGTACATTTCGTAACAAGCTTTCATGCTTGACTAACTTGCTTATTGCGAGGGAGGATTGGACAGCAGCCCTAGATAACGGTCTGTCTGTCGACGTGATATTCATAGATTTTAGCAAAGCGTTTGACAAAATTTTACACGTAGGTCTTATACAGTAGCTCACGAGCTTCGGAATAATAGGTACTGTGCATGAGTGGATAGGAAATTTCTTATGTGGCCGCAGACAGAGAGTGAGAGTCAACGGAACGCTATCCGATTGGAAGCCGGTCAAAAGTGGTGTACCCCAAGGCACCATCTTAGGCCCTCTGCTCTTCCTTCTCTACGTTAATGAGTTACCGCTGTTACTTAGTTCGTCGACATTATTGTTTGCGGATGATGTAAAAATCTGGAGAACAATAAAAAGTGCGGCTGATCATCTGGATCTTCAAGCTGACTTGTACGATTTAGTTAGATGGGCTCGAGAGTGGGGCTTATAAATCAATGCTAGGAAGAGTGTGCTAATGCACATCGGCCACGGTAATAGTTACCGTTACACTATTGAGGGTAAACCTCTTCCATGCGTTCAAGAGCATAAAGACTTAGGAGTAATATTAAGTCATGATTTAAAAACAACTACGCATTGCAAAGCAGCCGCTGTCAAAGGTTTTCGTGAGTTATGGTCACTTCGCCGAGCGTTCAAATCTTTTGACGGGGAAACGTTTCGAATTTTATGTCCCACCTGTGTAAGACCACACTTAGAGTACTGTATCCAAGCAGCTAGCCCATGTCTGGTAAAGGATACTAACTCCCTTGAACGTGTCCAGCGTGTGGGAACGAAATTAGTGAAGGGTCTTTCTAGACTCCCTTACGATGAGCGTTTAAAACGCGTAAATCTTTTCCCCTTGTCGTATCGTAGGACACGAGGTGACCTTATACTGGCATTTCGTATCTTTAATTATTATTTGGGTGTTAATATGTCTTATCTTTTTGCTCCCTCCAGCACTAATAATCTCCGTGGTCATAGCAAGAAAGTTCATAAACCAAGATCTAATAAACTTAAAGTGGGGTCCCGTTTTTCTCATCGAGTAGTCAATGACTGGAACGCCTTACCCGAACAATTGGTATCAGCCCCATCAGTGAATACTTTCAAGGAGAAGCTGGACCTTCACTGGAAAGCAATGCGTCAGGATTAATACAGGTTCATCAACCTACTATCCTTATTACTGAAGACTGAATAATAAGGAGAACTCTGCAATCATTATTTAAGGTGCAGAACGTCAATATATGTTCAGCCTGGGTTCTTTCTGAGATAAGAAGGAGATTGTTAAGCGTTTTAAGCACTCATTTTGAGAGAGCTCGGAGAAGCGCATCACTAACTCAGTTCTCACATGTTAGACGCATTCTGGTATGCTGGCAATCGTGATGAGTGATTGGCGAGTCAACGTCTGGGTGCAATACTATACATTGAAATTCACTCAACTGACTGGATAGCATATAGTCTTCCAAGTCGTTTTACTTCAAATTGGGGTATTTAGTCAAACGAAACTTCTTATTCATCAACATTGGATTTCTAGATTCTGGGTTTATGGTTTATCTACGAGACAATCAAGCATATACCTGTTCGTCTGACTGCTTGGCATCGCCATGATTTCTAAATACTCACTACAGGTCTTAAACATATAGTCAGTTTCTGCAAACTCTCACTTGTAGGCGTAACCAATTATGAAGTCCTGAAGTTTATTATTGGATGAAATGTCGGTGTTCTTGTTGAATCCTACCACGAGGCACCATTTTTATTTGAACACATAGATATTGCTACAGCGAGGCACCAAATACATATGCGCCACACATTTCATTTGATATGTGTGAGAGCTGTGATATTCAGTGAGTCAGCTACAACGTAGGACCAGGCACATATATGCATCGGTCCAAGTTGCCATACCTCATTAACACAACAAGATGGACACCGGATTCATAAAAGTAGTTAATTCAGAGGTGGTAATATATAAAAGAAAGATTGCAATAAGGATATAGCACAGGAAGAAATAATTAGTTCGTAGAAAGAAAGATATGAAGCAATTTTAATCTCTTAGTTTAAGGGAAGATAGAGAGTGTATACACCGACGCCATTGTGATAGATTCTGAGCCATGTCACCAAGAGTCTCCAACCATTGGTTACGATAGTCACGCGGACCCCAACCAAGTAGTCTGCATCTACCAACATGGCTCGGACTACAAGTTAGTGACTTCAAGCACTGATGCTACGTTTTGGTTTGGCCGCCCCTAACTTTCTTCCAACCATCTCCAACACCGGTTAGCATTGCACGTCGTGGTAATCGGTGTTCAGGCATACGTAACACGTGGCCCAACCATCTCAGTCGATGAAGATTCACAACCTCATCAACTGATTTACCATTATTCCCTAATACCCTGTGTCGAACCTCACTATTACTTACCCGGTGATCCCAGCAGACGCCAGCAATATTTCTGAGGCATCTGTGGTCAAATACTAGTAGCTTACCAGTGTCTTCTACTCTTAATGGCCATGTTTCGCTGCCGTAAATTAAAACAGAACGGACTGCCGCGCAGTATAGGTGATGTAGCATAGGTGACGTAAGTTGGCAAAAGCCAAGCGAGCTTTTCGAATCCGTGCTGAGATTTCGTCAGACACCAACCCATTAGGGCTGATCAGACTTCCAAGATAAGTGAAGTTGTCAATGCGTTCGACTACTTCACTCCCTATCCTTAGTTCAGGTGTTAACGCAGACCAGTCCTGAAGCAACAACTTGCATTTATAGGGAGAGAAGCGCATTCCAAACATTCTGGCATTGTTGCTCAGTGCTACCAAAAGACTCTGTATTTTATCAGCGTCTTCAACAAACAGGACTATGTCATCCGCGTATTCTAAGTCGATAAGTGGACCTCCTGGAAGGAGATCAATACCCGAGAATTCAGTAGACGAGAATGTTATGGGATACTACCCGGGTGGTTTTCTTAGGTGGCCACACCAGGAGCCTTCGACCTGAAGGTCTGATCGAGGAGGCAGTGGAGCAACGTAAGGAGATGCAGTCCCATGGTAGCCAGTGGCCAATAATTGGTTCATACGCCATTTGTTCCGTTAGGATACTGGAGCCCATGTGCACAATTGGTTTGGAATCAGGATTTTCCAACTCCCATAGGTGTACCATGTTAGTAATGTAGAGGTTCGGCATCGTGTGTTCGAGCACAGAGATGATAAGGCAATCGGTGTCTTCATCTTGAAACACCGACTTCGGTGGCTTGGACATGTTCTACGAATGTCGTCCCAGAGAATTCCACGTCGTGCATTATTTGCCGACTCTGGGACTGGTTGGAAGAAGCGGAGAGGTAGTCAGTGCATGACATGGTGTCGTGGCATGAAAGAAAGCTGCAAAGGACTGGCTTGTGTTGGTCCTTCACGACTCCCTGGTTGGGGTCCGAGAGATGGTGCTACACAGTGGCTAGAGACGTTATCAGATATGGCTCAGAATAGAAACCAGTGACGATCCTGCTCTAACCTTCTTTTACTTTCTTCGTAAAAGTGGTTGTATCTTCCTTAACTGAAAGATTTCTTCTGATTGTACCTTTCCGTTCCCCCATTATTACTATTATTATTATTACACTACCTTAATCCAATCTCTTCGTTATTGTTCTCTTTTTTTACGCTCCTTACCATTTTTCTTTTTCCTTCTCTTTAAATTCCCATTGTTTTGTGTGGCGCATATATATTGGCACTCTCTTGTACCAATATTTATGTGTTCAAATAAATAAATAAATAGGTGTATGCTCCATGTCCACCAACCCGGTTAAAGCGCCGGACGTTCGCTTTTCGTCCTCTCAATTTCGTAAACAACAGAATTGCCACGAGAAGGCAGTGAGTAGGACTTCCCTGGCAGAGGCTATGTACGCGTGGCCATGTGAGAGCATTTCGAGAGGGAGAGAGGACTCTCTCAACTCTCGGCCGTACCAGGGCATTTGGGGGCATCCTACCAGGACCTGTAAAACGTGTCCTAAAATCATAAATGTTCTCATGTTGAAACACGATTGTCCATAGAAATTAACCATGAACAAATATATTTTGCGTTAGGATCCTAACCATACACCAATGATTGTCTCAATTTAATCTATTCAGAAAAATCTTAGTTCAGGGAAGTCCTTTGTTTCGCCTTAATATTTTTCAAAATCACCCTGTAAGTGTGGGCCTATAGTTCCATGGGTCTGGGAGCTATTATTGCAAGGAGTCAGTATTATTTTAACCCTTCTATACTATTTGTTCAGTTTCCGTTTACATCACAATTAAAATATAGGTGTCTCAGCTTCTGTGTTTGTTTTGAGACTAGCGTTTAAGGTGGTTATTTACACCAATCCCAACCAGACTTACATTGGAACGAAATTGTAGTGCTCATCTCGATGTACTTTATAGTGTGTAAAATGATGGCGTGGTGATTAGGACGTTCAACTTTCAGTCACTAAGTTTCAGGTCTGAACCGTGCCCACCCATTTTAGTTGGTGCAACTGATTAGTATACATTGGGACAATCAGTGATTGTGACCAGTCAGATGGAATAACGTCTAACTCCCAGATCTTAGCTAAAATATTAGTCAACCTAATCGCTACAATTGGACCACCATCCTTAAAGACCTCTGGAGCCAATCCATCTGGATCAGCTGCCCTTCCTCGTTTCAGATTAACTATAGCCTTTTTGAACTTCTGCTAGAGTTGGAGGACCTGCTTCAATGTTCCATTCAGACTGTCTGGGAATGGTGGGTAGTTGTAGAGTAGCTGAAGACCAGCTGAATCGCTCCTTAAAATGTTCTGCCCATTGTCCTAAACTTCTGGACTGGGAGCAGATAAGTGTCGTATTTTTCTGAATTAGTCTCACTTACACTTGACTTCTTAATTTGAGTTTCTTTCATTAGTTCGAAAAGCTGTCTTGCGTTACCTACAATCGCTACCTTTTCCGTCTCTTTTGCTTTCGTTGCCCACCACTGCCCACAGTTGTTCCTTAGACTTTTGTTTAACCTAGATCTGATTTGTTTTCGTTCTTCATCGTGTTCAGAGCCTGATGGGACGAGTTTACGAGAATCCATCAGTGCAACAGACCTAGAGGAAATCCATTGGTTCTTTGTAACCCTTTGGCTTAAATCATTAACAGATGTCACTGCTGTTTCCACAGCTGCTTTTATATCTTTCCAACCAACATATGGGTCAGTATCGTTTTCAGAACTACCTAATTGTGACCTCAGTTGTTCCTGGAACCTACTTTTTGTTTTCTCATTACTCAATTCAATTCTAATGGGTCTTTTTACTGTGGATTTTCCGCGTCCAGTGAGGTGCAAGCAGATGCGTGCCCGTATTAGAGGATGGTCGGAGTCCAAGCAGGTATTCCAGAATGAGCAACAATCTTCTATCGAGCCTCTCCAACGAAGACTGATGTCAATATAGTCTATTTGAGTCCATCGTTGGTTTGGTTCAGGAGGTCGCCATGTTAGACGATGTCTCTCGTTATGCTTAAAATTAGTGTTTGCTAGCTCTTGTGTAAATACAAATCCAGACACTACCTATATTTTCCGATCCGAAGAAACATTGACTATACCGTTGGCTGTAATGGCTGTACATTGGACGTAAGTACATGAGACAGTGGCTGATTGCGGGACGATACTGCTACACCGTTGTGTATCTATGGCGGTCCCAACTCCGACAACAACTGAAGTGTGGTTCTCATAGTCAGTGGTCGTTAACAGATAATTTTAATCAAACTCAGCTTTTAACTTCCTCAACTCTTGTAAAAGGTTGATTTGGGACAGCCCATCAACTTTAAATCTCTATTGGCTTTAGCCCGTCTTTTAGCACTTTTATGAAGCTCTTAATTATTAGTCTAAAAGAAACAATTAGTCAAACTGAACAAAAGCATTAAGCGTAATTGTAGACAGTAAAAATAACCCACCTGCATGGCATGAGAATTTTGAAAAAGTGGTTTAAAGCCGACAACTCATTGTCTCGTGTTTGTTTGACGTACTACAACAAAGCCTCAACATCGGTTTTGTATTCGTGACCGAAGTTCATGATATTAATAATAATAATATTTATTAATTGTAATTTCATCTTCAAAGGTTTAAAAATGCATTGGTGATGAAGTGTTTGTCTGGAAAACTGCGCAATGCAGATTTTGGGGTTTTTCCCCAAACTTTGGGGAAGGCCATCGAACTTTGTTCATTTACTCAGAATTGATAGATTGTGATGAGAATAAACTTTTATGTCGTTATTATCGACAGGCTTTTCCTTGATGTCTGTGGAAAATTGTTGAGATGCATCGCGTTAAAGCGAGGCATTTCAGATAATCTTACCGAAGTTGCGGAAAAGTTTGCTGTTTCATAAATAAATATAGACAGATTTACCCAAAGTGTAGTAAACTTCTGGGGAAATCTTCAAAGCTTAGTGGTAATATTGGAGAAAAATCCGAAATTTTTGGGAAATATTGTGGAAAAACTCAAAATTTCGGGGAATTTTCCCACATCTGGGGAGATTTTGGGGTTTTTAGGCCATTTCCGCAAAATTAGGACATTGGGTTTTTGTGCCATTTTTCCATAATTTTCTGTAGTGGCTTCTCCAAAACAGACAAAGTTTTCCACAAAATGGGGAGATTAGTACGTAATAAGGGAGTCCCTGAAAGGTATATGAATCTACGATATCAGTTCCGGATTCACATATCGACGCTGAGCAAACTATCGGGGAGCCAGGTCTGGGCGGTGTAGAGGATGTGTTCAAGAGGCAAAATAAGGTAAATGATTGGCTCACAGTCACAATCGGGAAAAGAAAAGTAAGAAGACAGAATTTGACCTCTGCGTTTGATACTAAAATGGAATCAGATTGCAGGGAAGAAACGGTTTCAGGGACTAAACTTCCACATCATGTTATGACGGACCTCTCTGAGAGGTCAATCATTTTTCATAAGTTAAGAGAATCTTCCGAAAAGGAACCGAAGGCTAGATTTGAGCACGACCTCAGTCATATTAAGTCCTTAATAAGCAAGCTATCACCAGGAACAGTTTCAGGAGTCGGCATGTGTAAGCTTTATAGAATAGGACAAAAGGTGGATTCTGAAAGTCCTCAGAAAAGCTGCCTCTTGAAGGTTACCTTTGCTACGGTTGAAGAAAGAAACCTGATACCGGCAAACTCACGCAAATTGATTGGATCCGTAATATACGTCCGTAAGGACCTCAGCCTGGTTGACCGTATTAAGAGACGAGTTGCGGAAGTAGAAATAAATGAGCGACGCCGAAACTTAGGGGTTTTCAAATTGTAAAAGTTCGGAGCAAAACGATCCCCAAACCACCCTGGGTGGTCATGAAAAGTTCTCCACAGAATTAAAGGTGTGCTATACAAATGCTCGCAGCCTACTAAGTAAAATGACGGAGCTCAAGGCAATTGTGGTTATAGAAAACTGGATATTATTGTTGTCTCAGAAACATGGTCAATGTTAGTAGTGTTCGGTAATGAAATTCACTTGACTGTTTTTTATCCAGTACGACTGATAGATTAAACCGTAGGGGAGGTGGGGCTATCCTGTACACGAAAAGTACCTTAACCATACGAGCTTTTGAGACAGTAAAACATGATTCAGGGACATGTGAACTGGTGCGTTGCAGGCTGAAGTGTAGACGGCAAGATATTGGATTAGGTGTAGTATATCGCAGCCCAGAATGTGTAGTAGACGACTTCCTCCCAAGCCAACTTAAGTCCTGGTGACTCATTTCAGGCAGTTATACAATCGATTAACTCAATCATATATACCCTTGACAGTCCCAAAGAAAAAAAAAGCACGGCCATCCCTGGATAGGCCGGGATGTTCGACGTTCACTAAGATAACCCTATGGGCTTTAAGACGGATATTCACCAAGTTAAATTCTACCGTGTTCACTACAAGTATACACAACCTTAGTGAGGACAAAGCTTGAGAACTGCGTTCAGGCTACAAACCCATTTTAAGAAGTGACTCGGATATCCTGGAAAAAGTACAAAGGGAAGCCACCTGTGCAATTTCAGAACTCCGTGGTTTACCACACAAAGATCGGCTTGAAAAGCTAGGTTTCTCTACTGTCTTATCGCAGTTTAAGACGTGATCTGATTTTTATGTATAGAATACTAAGAAATGATTCTGGACCTAATATATCCTCTTTTTTCCCACTGAGAATTCTGTATTGTTCCGGGCATATTCAATAATGCCACTATTATTACTATTTTTTTTACCATAGTTATGACTGCCGTTACCTAGCTCCCACACTTAACATATATAAACTTAGGATACTGCCTATTTTTATTGGTAAAATAAATATCTTTAATTCATAACTTATTTATTCAGTTTACAGTCTTATTCAACAATGAACTCAGGATGAACTTTAGTGCTCTATTTGCAAATATAAAAAGTTCAGAATGCCCATTGTCTCTTCTGAAGAGCTATGTAAATGATGGCGTTGTCCTAAAGGACTTCAACAAATGCGAGGAAATTGGTTCACTCGTTTGCTTTCTCGTGTCTAAAACATATGGGCTTGGCCTCAAGATACTCCTTGACTGTGGTTTGGATATGTCTGCTAGTGTAAGTTTGCAGTTAGTATTTTTATTGTTACCTTATTATTAAAACCGAAAAATTCAAATCAATTAATAATTTAATACTATATGTTGTTAGCTGTTTATCCAAAGAGTACATCTGACCTTCACTAACGAAATACAAGTTGCGGCTTAATCTATAAATGTTTCTAGTAAAATCAAATATTATCAAAATACGAAATGTCACCGCAAAGGTCCTAAGCATGTATCTTTTTTATCATTTGTAAGGTCTGAGTTGTCTCGTTATCGATATTGAAGACTACATTTCGATCAGTCTTTGTTGACACATGTGAACCTTGTTGGGTTCGCCCCAATGTAACCAAAGTATCACAAGTTGTATGTAGAATAGATTAAACGTCCTTAACAATCTAATCCACGTTTCGTTCTAGTATTTTTTTTAAATAAAAGAACATTTGGTATTCATTTGTGCATTTTGTTTACATTGTTTATTTAATTCAGCATCACATTACTGGAGACACACCATTGATCCTCCTTTGCAACGAAGGTTTATGTGGTGCAACGAAACAACTAATTGACAAATTAGAACCGGCTAGTCTATTTCATTCCAACGTCATTGGATTAACAGCTATAACACAATTGCTCTGTCGCGCTCACGGGGCTTGCAACTGCTTAGAAAGTCTTCTTTCACATCTGTGCCTTTGCAGTGCTCTTTTACCAGTTGACTTGCGTATGAACAGTCATACACGCAGCATGAGTAGTATGGGACTTTTACATTCAGAACCCTTATTTGAAAATGATGAAGGAAGTCAGGTGTTATTCACTGTTGATCAGCTACTGGGACGCATTAAGTCAGATAATAGTGAGCGTATCATCTCTGTATTACAACTGTGGATAAAAGCGAATCTTCTGCGTTTAACGTACAGTAAGTTTATTACAGCATTTCTCAAGTAAGGCGATTCCAAGTTTTCGGCCTATAATCAAGCGGGTAGGTTAATGTAAGTGCATGTACAAACTTGTGATCTCTATGTACCCGCTCTTTTTAGCACACTGTGAGATACTCAACGAGTAAGATACTAAAAATAATGTCAACAATATTGGAGCACCAAAAGCAGCGACCAATGTAGGTGAACGAAAGCATAGAGTATTAAAATATAAACGTTTCTGGAGAATGTAGTAACTGGGTATGAGTGAAATATACTCAGGTCGCTTCAGTCAAGTTTACAATACTATCTGATTTACCACCTCAACCTTAGTGCTCTTGATCTAAAGTCAGCATTTGAAATCCTCGTATTTCCTTTGTTAAACATTACTGTTGTTTCAATGCTGACTGAATATAGTACTGGACTGTAAAGGGTTGGAAATTTAATCCATGACCCATGATATACCTCTTTAATTTATCCTTGTGTATGTCTTATTATGACGGGTGAACAAAAATATTTCCTTTCGGTACGTTATACTACTATAACACATTAATATAACCAGGATTGAGATTTAAAGCTATACAGACTGGGACTACGTTTTACCAAATATACGATTCACGGCAAGAAATAGATTACTAGAGTGTAAGCCAATAGTTTATTTAACACAATTACACGCAGTCTATACTTAGTGATTCCAGAGTGAAAATCAGTGATGGTAAAGATACCACTTATTTTTAATAGTAAGAAAACTGTGTGTCAGTTCATGCTCAGTGACCAATCACATCTTACCTCCATTTACCACATATCAATCTTTGATATAGGCTGAGAGAGACTTTCCAGTCTCAATAGTTCGATATCTAATGAAACAAGACCATGAACAAAGTTCAAGCACGTAGTTTGGAAGAAGTAACAATAGTTTATTGATCCTCTAGATTAGTAACAACATTCATACAATCTCTCTGCCCACTGTTGAGTTGACATATGTTTCTCCTTATGCTTAAAGTTAGCGTCTATGTATGTAATTAAGTCACCTGTTAAAATAACTGGGTGACCTTCAACTCGCCTGAACTCCAAATAGTGAGGAGTAAGTACAGTGCTATCAGATTTAGCTGTAACCAGAGAACTGTCAGGTGAATTCTAATCTAGCAGTGGATGTTTTGCTTGTGAACTTAATGCATGACGCACATATACAAAGCCACAAGCTATTCCCATCAAACTGCCAGATGCTCAAATAACCACATTTAGGCCTTCTATGCGAATTTCGCGAAACAAAGTCACGATTAGGGAACTAGAGTTTTGGCTAGTAAGTTTCACTACTTTACTTGATATAAAATTCAAAAATAGAAGAGCAGTTTTACGAGATTATAATATTAATTTGCAGACCATATTGTTAGTACTGGTTGGATATACTGGAAATTATGCTAATAAACAAAGTAACTTAGTAAATCTGGCTATCGCAAAATGTAGGATATTATGGCGTAAGGAGTAATAAAGTTGGATTGCTAAAAAAATATTTGTAGCACACGGAGGTAAATTAAAATTTGTAAATTCCTATTCAAAATCTCTTATCCATTGTTGTAACTTTGAGACATTGCAGTGAAAATTAATTTGATATTCTTTATTCATAAAAGCAACTGGAGACAGTTCTATGCAGAATGAACAATTAACATGCAACACAAATATTTTGGGAGAAAGGCTTCTTAGACCTTTGCTGTCATGTGTTTTTTATTCGAACAACATTGGATCCATAATGAATAAACTTGAAATATTGATTTGTCAATTGCTCATCTTAGGCCAGTTACATGGATGCCTTTTAATTGATAGTATAACTCAGTCAAATCCAGTAGACTCGAAAAACCAATACTTGAATAACATGTAAGTTTACTGGGTGCTAACTTTTTCTGAAGGTAATTTAGTGGGTGTAATTGATGTTTTAATTTAAACACTCTATGGCCTTAAGATGGGAAGTAAAGTTTAATTACAAACGCTTGATGAAACTGTGTACGGTAAAATAGAGAAAACTATCCAACCACTGACTACCAAGTTACAGGAGATTCTTCAAAACATTTTAGGAATAATCTACATAAAGAAACAACAGGATGAAAAGCTCATCCTGGATCTACATGCCATCTATTTTAAACAATTAATAAAGTGACCAACTTTATGCTCGACTGACTGAATTCAGCAACCTGATTCGAATTTAATACTAGTGGGAGGGGAAATCTTACTGTTTATTCGCTGAGATGCAAATGTAGATTATATTTGTGTTATAGGTAACAAAAATGTTGCTGTAAACTCACTTATTCCACACCACTTATTAAGTTTTTGCCATTCAGTTTTACTTTCTCCTTTTCTTAATATTCACCCAGTTTTTTTCCAGTTAATTCATCGATAAGTTTGAGCAGTTCATCTGCTGGTCAACTAACTAATCTTTTACCATTGATTTGAAAAAAGTGCTGTGGTCAAAACTTATATGGATTTTCTAACACACTAAGTTTAAAACCTATACTAGATATTAAAGAAAGTGAAGTATTGTTAGCAGATTCATGATACGTTAGTGTATACAATCTTACGCAGTAACTAATACTATTGGTTTGTTTTACTTTGAATTTCATAGCTTAGAATATATACGATGCCATCTGAATGCACCACTAAACTTAAGACTTCTAGGGATACGTGCAATCCGTCGAATTTTACAGTACCGTTTTATATTAATTTGCCAGATGACTGATAAGTATAATTCGCTGATAAATGAAAATGCACTTTCGTTTGTAACATGGGTTGATCAATTACCTTTACCAAATATCATCAAACAACATATTCTTTTAAATCCAATGACCTTAAGAACTAGTTGAACAAACAACTTTGCCTTTTATTTTTTTCTTTGGTTCGTGCATTTATTTTCGATTTTTTAAAACTTATTATTAAGTAAAGAAGGTTTTTATGTTTTTGATAAAAATGCAATAGACATATGTACAGAATAAAACTGAAATAAATTTATGTTCTGGTGTTCTTATAACTTCTGGTTAGTCTCCACATGATAGAAATTGATAGTACCAGATTGTGAATCTAAAGATAAAGTTAATTGTAGATCATAAGTGTTAGAATATAATCTGCTTACTTGTATATTCATGTATACTTTAAATACTGTGTAAATAGTATGAAAAGTACACTTAACCTTCGTACACAAACAATCCTTGCGAAACATTGATTTAAGCGGTTGAAATGTATTAAGCATGCTGAGTCGCTAGCTAATTTGACCGTGCTGCATTAAAATAAGAATCGGTTGGTGTAATGCTAAATACGACTAGACCAATACATGATACTAATCTGTGAGGCTACTTACCCAGTGTATGTAGTTCGCAAAAATACTTTGGCCAATATCCTGCTGATAAATAACTTCTATGCACAGCTGAACCCAGTACGTAAACTAAATAGCTAATTCTCACAAAACAACGTGATACTTTGATTCGAATGTTCTTTGATGTCCTAAGTGTATTGAGGCGAAAGGTTATAAACATCCCAAATCGCATAAGCTCTACTAATAATAAATCCTATGGATATATTTTGCATACCTACTTTATACGTAATACTTCCTAACGTATACAGAAACTCTTTACTATCTAAACGATATCGAGTTACTGACTGGTCGAAAGTTGAATGCTACCACCGAATGCAAATACTGAAACCACGTATACCATTCGAACTGGCTTCCTAATGCAGGTCGGACAACAGATAGGAGTGGCTATGTCTTTAGAATGTCTCATTATCGATGTCTGTTTTCTGTCCGAGACCCGTGCTCAAGACTAATGAAGTCCTACAAATTCTCTCTCCATCTATTACTTCGAAAACCTTGTTTCACGTGCGTTTGTCCGGGGGCGCTGTGGCATCTCCATCCAGTTTAGCTGGCGTTGGTGTCGCACTAAGCGCTAGAGCTGAGGCAGCACTGATCGATTGGATCCCCATTAACAGTCGATTGTGTGCTGTTAGATTATAAAGCTCCATCAAAGTAAGAAAAAAATAGGTGTGCGGAACGATGTCTTTTCATCATCTCCGGCTACACTCTGACAGATTACAGCCCGGATGAGACCAAGGATGAGTTTTACTACCAGTTAACTGTTCTTCAACAGATGCTCTCGATGGATATTGTAGTACTAGCCAAGAGACTTGAATGCTCAGGTCGGGCGTCTAGACACAGAACAGAGTTGTTTAGGTGGTCGATAGGGACTTGATGGTTGCATGTCAGATAACGGTTACTGTTTATTGCAAATTTGCGCAGACTACGACCTGTTTCCGACTAACACTAACTTTCAGCACAGTTGTTCTTGATGTTCTACCTGGCGTCTTCCCATCACATCGCGTTTAACTACCGCTGGTGTGGTTGTGTACAAAACTGTCACTCCTTTTGGAGTACCTATCTGGACTCGGATCATGTCCTTGTTTGCACTAATCTTACCTAACATTTCAGTGGCCAACAAATTCATCGTCCTAAACGGATCGATGTCAATAAATTGATTGCAGCTCCTGTTGCAACAAAATATCAAACCGAGCTGAGTTCAAGGCTAGCTATCAACCAACCGAAAAGTATAGATGTGTGTTGGCTGAAACTGCATGACGCCATGAAGAAGGCTAGTAAATTCACTTGCGGCTTTGCAAAACGTCCTGCCTACAAGCACAGGGTTTCTACAGGCTTCTTACAACTCATTGAAGCACGTTGGTCTACTCCGGGTGACCTTGAGTTTGACCATAAATGAAGACTGTTACGTAATGAAGTCGTGCAAAGCTTGTGTAAGGTCATAGAAGCCTGGTGGTTAGAGCGTATCAATGAGTTGGAAACATTAATTACTTCCGGTCGCTGCCGGAAGCTCTTTCAACTCATCTTGGTCACTGGCAGCAAGAGGTCTGGTGTGACTGAAACAATCTGTAAAGCTGACGAGATGTCAATCATTGACATCCACCGGCGTCTTGAACGATGGGCAGTTTTTCGAGGAGAAGTACAATTGGTCTGCTGCTCCGGCGACATCGATCACACTGTTTTACCCTTCATGGTATGTTACGACTAATCCATCTAATAAGGCCGGACTCTGCAAGGAACTCCAACTTTGAAGCTCTACAAATGACCAGAACCAGACGACTTACCTCCGGTCCATCTTAAAGATGTTGGCGACTTTGTGGTTGAGGAACTAACTGAGTTGTCTACAAAAATCTGGTAATTAGTATTCCAACACTGCAATGAGTTGTTCCTATCTTTAAAAAGGGTTCAATTTGTTTTTGCAACGACTATCGGGGGATGCGTCTATTTTAATCAGCTTTGAGCCAGGCTTTAGCTGTATGAGAGCTAATTATACTATGCAGAAAGCCAAAGTAGGTAAACTGGATTTTGTGCTGGCGACCGAATAGATGGAAGTAGCGTACTTTTACCATTATAGATGAATAAACTAAGATAGCAATCCACTAGGTAGTGTGGAACTTTATCATCAGTAAGGCTTGTTTCCACACAAAAAAGAATTAGATTTCCGGGAGTACTGTGTGTGTGACAGTTTACAAGAGCTTACAAAATTAATTCTTCGAATGTCAAACTATAAAAGTAGTCGCATGACCATTAAGCAGCTTAAAAACTTACCATATGACGCCGAAAGGGTATATGCCTCACCCTGGTAAACGAATTCGATGATAAAGGTTGGTTCATCTGCATAGCCACGAATAAATATTCCATTGTACAAGCACCACATTATTAAGTCATGGGTTGAAGCACCAGATCCCATTCCTTTTACATTAAAACAAAGCATCCAGTGAGATGTGTTTCATAAGAATTGAAGTGTAAGTTTGTAAAAATTCTTTCTATGTAATTAAATTTCATTTTCATTGGAAATAGTTTAAGTCCCCGTATTTCTTACCAAAGTATAAAATGTTTCAGCTATTCATTCAAGCAATAAACATCTATAACCAACTTCCTAAAGGTTAAGGGAGAAGCGAATGCAACAACTTTTTGTTTCATAGAACGTCTCAAACTATTCACACTACTTAGGTTTAATAAGTTTAGTGTACTCGGGCTAAAAAATTATATCTGGAGTCTGGTATATTTCCTTTAGTGACCAATTAAAGAATGAACAAGAAAGCCAAGGTCATAACACTCTTTAAAAGGTGATAAACATGAGGCAATCCAACGCTAAGTTTTTTTGAAAGAATCATATTCTCATCGTACTTCAAACAGATTAATCCGTTAGGAACTGCAACTGAGAAAACTAGTTTTGGGGGCACTTGCAGCACAGAATAAGAATGTGATAAGTAGAGGTTTTACACTAAAACAACCTTAATATGAGAATGAAAATAGAACTCATTTTTACAGTGTAAGAAATTCAGGAATAAAGTGATTATCGTAAACCCTGACAAAACCAAAATCTCGCAAATTCTCACAAGCGTTCCGCTTACCTTCTACACAGATAGTTGTTTGTTGGGATTCAGGCTGGTTGGCAAATGCAGCTAAGTGAGCTACTAATGATTCTGATTCATCGTTGTCAAGATCTTCGTCATCATCTTCATTATCTATAGTATGCGTAGGGCTTAGTCGTCGACCTCCGGTTTGACACCCATTAGTGCTAGTTTGAAAAAACCTATCATTATTAACGATTGTCTTGTTGAATTCTGACCTCAGGTTTCTGTTATTTGGACTCTTTTCCAAGCGTTGAAGTGATGAAGCATCTAACTCCGATTCAATATTTACGTTAGAGCTAACAAGTGGAAAATTGTAAACCATAATTAAGTTCAATAGATTAATGTAAATCTCCAATAAATTTGAAGCTTCTTGATACTTTAAAACTGTGTCACTTACTTATCTGCATTTAAAGTTTCATTGATTACATTTTCTGGCAAAGCGACTAACGCGTCCATTACTTGTGCCATCAAAGTTGGATTATTCACCTGTTCACCTGTGTCATTCAAAATGACTAGACCACTGGAACCGTCTTCATTAGACTGATGATGAACATAAAGTGTTTCACCATCCGGAGTTTCAACTATCATCTGATAATGAAAATTATATTTATTTATTTGAAAATTGTACGAAAAAGTTGGATGTCATGATTCTCAAATAATAAACTACACACTACATGAAAGAGTAGGACACTTCCTTAATTTTACTTTGTCCAATGAAAATATGAGTCAAGTATATTTTGAACACCGTACACTTTCGAAATAGTGAACACAAATACCCACCCCACTACTGGCTACTAACACTATTATCCATTAACGATTATAAATTATATATGACTACACAAAACAATATAAAATCCATGCAAAGAGCTCAAGCACTAACAGACGCTCACCGATTTACGGTCTATAACTAACAATGAGGGAATGAAAACCTTGACGTCAATTTTTTCTTTGGGTCAGTCAGCTATAACGTAGGACCAGGCACATATATGCATCGGTCCAAGTTGCCATACCTCATTAACACAACAAGATGGACACCGGATTCATAAAAGTAGTTAATTCAGAGGTGGTAATATATAAAAGAAAGATTGCAATAAGGATATAGCACAGGAAGAAATAATTAGTTCGTAGAAAGAAAGATATGAAGCAATTTTAATCTCTTAGTTTAAGGGAAGATAGAGAGTGTATACACCGACGCCATTGTGATAGATTCTGAGCCATGTCACCAAGAGTCTCCAACCATTGGTTACGATAGTCACGCGGACCCCAACCAAGTAGTCTGCATCTACCAACATGGCTCGGACTACAAGTTAGTGACTTCAAGCACTGATGCTACGTTTTGGTTTGGCCGCCCCTAACTTTCTTCCAACCATCTCCAACACCGGTTAGCATTGCACGTCGTGGTAATCGGTGTTCAGGCATACGTAACACGTGGCCCAACCATCTCAGTCGATGAAGATTCACAACCTCATCAACTGATTTACCATTATTCCCTAATACCCTGTGTCGAACCTCACTATTACTTACCCGGTGATCCCAGCAGACGCCAGCAATATTTCTGAGGCATCTGTGGTCAAATACTAGTAGCTTACCAGTGTCTTCTACTCTTAATGGCCATGTTTCGCTGCCGTAAATTAAAACAGAACGGACTGCCGCGCAGTATAGGTGATGTAGCATAGGTGACGTAAGTTGGCAAAAGCCAAGCGAGCTTTTCGAATCCGTGCTGAGATTTCGTCAGACACCAACCCATTAGGGCTGATCAGACTTCCAAGATAAGTGAAGTTGTCAATGCGTTCGACTACTTCACTCCCTATCCTTAGTTCAGGTGTTAACGCAGACCAGTCCTGAAGCAACAACTTGCATTTATAGGGAGAGAAGCGCATTCCAAACATTCTGGCATTGTTGCTCAGTGCTACCAAAAGACTCTGTATTTTATCAGCGTCTTCAACAAACAGGACTATGTCATCCGCGTATTCTAAGTCGATAAGTGGACCTCCTGGAAGGAGATCAATACCAGAGAATGTTATTTCCATCAATAGGTCTGTGATGAAGTTAAACAAAAATGGAGAAAGTGGACAGCCTTGACGGATACCACTTGAGGTTGCAAAAGCAGATGACAGTTCTCCATAAGCTCTGACTCGACTGGTAGTGTTCGAGTAAAGAGCCTTCACAAGGTTTATGTACTTCTGAGGTACACCATTCAATGACAGACACTGCCACAGAATCTCGCGGTCTACCGAATCAAATGCTGCTTTTAAGTCAAGAAAGACCACCATTGTCGGACGTTGATAAGTATGCCTATGTTCTAGAACTTGACGAATGGTGAATATGTGGTGGATGCAGCCACGACCAGGTCTGAAGCCAGCTTGATTCTCTCGTGTTTCCAGTTCACGAGTCTTAGTTAAGCGTCTGATAATTATCGAGGCTAGTATTTTAGATACTATATTAGTTAAACTAATCCCTCTATGGTTGTCACAGGATGATTTTGACTCTTTCTTATATGTTGCGACGATAAGTTATTGTGACCAGTCAGATGGAATAACGTCTAACTCCCAGATCTTAGCTAAAATATTAGTCAACCTAATCGCTACAATTGGACCACCATCCTTAAAGACCTCTGGAGCCAATCCATCTGGATCAGCTGCCCTTCCTCGTTTCAGATTAACTATAGCCTTTTTGAACTTCTGCTAGAGTTGGAGGACCTGCTTCAATGTTCCATTCAGACTGTCTGGGAATGGTGGGTAGTTGTAGAGTAGCTGAAGACCAGCTGAATCGCTCCTTAAAATGTTCTGCCCATTGTCCTAAACTTCTGGACTGGGAGCAGATAAGTGTCGTATTTTTCTGAATTAGTCTCACTTACACTTGACTTCTTAATTTGAGTTTCTTTCATTAGTTCGAAAAGCTGTCTTGCGTTACCTACAATCGCTACCTTTTCCGTCTCTTTTGCTTTCGTTGCCCACCACTGCCCACAGTTGTTCCTTAGACTTTTGTTTAACCTAGATCTGATTTGTTTTCGTTCTTCATCGTGTTCAGAGCCTGATGGGACGAGTTTACGAGAATCCATCAGTGCAACAGACCTAGAGGAAATCCATTGGTTCTTTGTAACCCTTTGGCTTAAATCACTAACAGATGTCACTGCTGTTTCCACAGCTGCTTTTATATCTTTCCAACCAACATATGGGTCAGTATCGTTTTCAGAACTACCTAATTGTGACCTCAGTTGTTCCTGGAACCTACTTTTTGTTTTCTCATTACTCAATTCAATTCTAATGGGTCTTTTTACTGTGGATTTTCCGCGTCCAGTGAGGTGCAAGCAGATGCGTGCCCGTATTAGAGGATGGTCGGAGTCCAAGCAGGTATTCCAGAATGAGCAACAATCTTCTATCGAGCCTCTCCAACGAAGACTGATGTCAATATAGTCTATTTGAGTCCATCGTTGGTTTGGTTCAGGAGGTCGCCATGTTAGACGATGTCTCTCCTTATGCTCAAAATTTGTGTTTGCTAAAAATAAACGATTGTCTGAGCACAGTTGCTGCAGACGATCACCATTATCTGTTTGCTGAGCCGGAATACTGAAATACCCACCTAAATGCCCTTCTGTTTGGCTTAAACCACCTATCTAGGCATTAAAGTCACCTGCTACGAGTACTATGTCTGAACGTTTAGCTTTCTGAAGAAGTTCATATAGCTTTCTGTAAAATTCATCTTTCACTTCATCTGAGCTGCAGTCGGTGGGAGCGTAGGCAGAAACGACAAAAAGGCAACGACGTGTGTCCCTATCCTTCCGAGTTCTTACGGAGCCGTTTAGCCGAACAGCACATAAACGACTGTTATCGGGGATCCACTCTAACAGTGCTTATTCCGCCCTCATGCTCAGTGCTATGCCTACACCTGACAGTCCACGAGAGCTGGCCATCGGGTCGCCAGGTACATGGAGGGTGTATCTCATCGGCTCTCCGTTTTGGCGAGGTGAGGTAAAGTGAATGACCAAACTAGGATTCTGTATGTGTTTCGGAGACACAACATACATCAATGGTAGGAGATTCTAGGGTTCTAGCCAAGGAAGCCTGTTGACCGATTTGACACAGGGTGCGTACGTTGAAGGCTCCAATGTGTAGTTTTGAGCGGGGTTTCAGTAGACCTGGGACAGTGTTTTGAGCATTAGAATCGTTGGCTATGGTGACACTTGAAGAGGAAGCCGAAAAAGGAAGTTTAGAGGTGAAAGCCGATGTAGGAGGAATAATAGGAAGTGAATACGTAGGTTGATTATGAATAGTGGTCTTGAGTGCTGTTAGAGGTATGAGGGCGGTTATCACTTCCCGGTTGCCCACTCCGTGGAAGAGTTCTTCTGGAGGTACCTGAAATATGAAATTGGGTTAGAGGTGGTCTTAGTGACCCGAGAGCGTGACCGCAGTGCCCAACGGACAACTGCTTGAGGTCGGTCACACACGATCTTATTATGGGTAATCATCGTATTAGCTCCATACTCGTTGAGACATTACTACTGGAGACGGATGTTCGTGTGATAAGGCGAGGTGTGCATTTTTAGGGTCGACCTTTTCTAACCCCACCCCTCCTTGTGGGAAGGCAGCATCGCTGTCATGCTGGTTGTCTAAAGGAAACACCTTACTGCTGTCACACCTCTGTACAGTTAGCAGTACGACTTCGCCTTCGGACTTTGGGTTTGTTGCTTTTAGTCTTACCGCTCATCAACCAACCTGTCTGACATGGTAGGACCTTGAGGAACAGTTGTTCCAGTCAGTATAGCTCGGTTGCTTCATCATAATAGGCAAGCCCGACCACCACGTCAAGGTAGCAACAATGGTCGGGTTTTCTTTGGGTAGTGATAGTGACTTTCAAATATTGAGTATGAAGACTAACTGGAGTAAAAATCTGTCAAGAAAATCAGTAGAAAGAGCATCCTATTGACAACTTGTATAAGCAATGTCAGACATCAAAACCACATTAAAATTTGTATAGGGGTCGAAAACTTGTTCAGTTTACTAGATCAATGAAAGTTTGGAAACAAATTGCAAGCTATCACTCTTATTTTCCGTTTTTAGGGTTGAAAACTGTTACTGTACCCAAATCAGATCCTAATGACACATTTTTGAACCAAGGTATAACCACCACTATTGTGAGAGCTATGGATGACGCGGCTATTGAAGTCGAGGTGACACTAGCGAGACACTGATTCGAATTACAGTGCTAAGCTAATAAGCTATCGTTCTGCATCCATTAAAACACAAACCTTACAGATATCAAACTTTTTATTTGAACACCAACACAACTCTGTGAAGAAGTGAGGCCTCATTAAACGAAATCACAAGGTTTTGTACTAAGAAACTAACAATGGAGTGATGTTGGTGACGAAGTGAATTTAGCTCGAGATTTACTGCCACCTATAATGATGAAGAATATGGTGAACGTATTCCAGCGTGGAGTAAGGATTGATACAGCTGTCTGGACCTATACACACTACACTTCATACAACCTACTACCAGGCCAGTTATCATTAACATAGAGCCCGATACGAATGTGCACTACCCAAGGTTCTCAAACTAAATCACCAAAACGATATGAAAATACGATGAGTAGCGAAATAATAGTGGTATCAATAGGTAAGACAGATTAAACATTAGAGAATATAATTCCAAAGTGGATAGATTGGGTGAATAAAAAGTATGAAATAGTGTAGAAAAATAAGACTGAGGGGAAAATAAAGGGAATGAGTCTGCACCATTGTGATCAGTACTAAGCCATATCAGCCAATGCTCATAACCACTGATTACGGTTATTACACCGATCATATCGAGTAATTTGCGCCTAATGACACCGGTTCCGTCCAACAAACAATGACTGCAGAGATTGATTCTGTCCTGCTTTGGGGGCCGCTAACTTCCTTTCAAACTAATCCTACATCAACGAACATTGTTTGTCGTGGCAGACGGTGGTTCAACATACATACCAAAAGCCACAACCACCCAAGTCGATAAAGATTTACCATCTTTACCTAGTGTCCTGCATTTAAACCACCTGGACTGATAAGACTTTCAAGATAAATGAAGTGTTCAACATTCTCAGCCTAGGTGTCAAAGCAACACTTTGGACTTACAGGGAGAAATACATTTTAAACGCGCTTATATTGTTATCCAGGACGACGGAGAAACTGCAGGTTGTCAGTATCTGCACTAAAAAGAACTACATCATCTGTGTAGTTGGAGTCCACTAGTGAATCATTTGTTAGGAGATCGATCCCAGAAAAGTCAGACAAATAAAGCGTTATCTCTTTCAGAGATTTCCTATGACGAAGTTAAATAAAAATGGGGTTGTGCAACCTTGATGAACACCATTTGAAGTTACCAATTCTGATGATAGTTCGATACAATCTCTGATCTCACCAATAGTGTTCTGGTAGAAATCCTTTAAGTAGACGATAAACTTCTTTAGCAAGTCTTTCTATGACAGAAATCACTACAAAACATGTAGGTCTACGGAGTGGGACACCATCTTCAAGCCAGAACATACTGTTATGACAAGGTGTCGGTAAGTAGGCCTGTTCTAGAAACTAAAGAAGAGGTGTGTGATCCACACATGCACGCCTAGACGTGTAACCAGCCCAGTTTTCCCGAATTTGTCATACACGAGCCCTAGTCAAGCACTAAACGATTATTGAGAATAAAACTCAACACAATATATTGGTCAAACAAATACCCCAATGGTTACCACAAAATCTCAGTCCTCTTTTATACACTGGAAAGACCAGTCATCAAGACAACTTAGATGGGGTTATGTCCACTCTTCAGACTTTTGCCAAAATTTGGCCACCATCTTAAAGGATATCCAGACTTCGTCCACCAGGTTCCCCCAACCCCTCTCGATTCAGATTAGAGGGTCTTCCCGATATCGGTAGGTGTTGGTGGCTCGTGTCGATCACCCATTTATCTAGGAATAGTATATAAATACAGTGTAAATAGCAAGCAAACTGTTAATCGCAGTATCCTGGTCATTTTATCAACCTTCTAGAGGGGAGAGTAGATTACGGTCCCGTCTCTTTCGGGGATAATTCCATCAATACTTGACTTTCTAAAATGTTTCTCGGACTGGTTTGAAAAATTATCTTGTGTTTCCTGTCGCCAGAACTGTTCCATCTCTTGCTTTCATCACCTATCACAACTCACCATTATTGCGTACACTATATGTCCGTCAACGTTTAAGTTGTCTTTGGTTACCGCGTTTTGAACCTGATGTGATGAGTTTCCGAGTTCCTGTCAATTCAGCAGACCACCAAAACCCAATGGTCCTTCACAACCTTTTGGTTTAAATGATTGATAGATAACAATACTATTTTCACGGCTATTCGAATACCATGGTAGACTAGAGAGGGACTATTACCTTCATGGTTTACTAAGCAGATAGTAGTGGTAGTAGTACAATATAAAAAGCAAGCATTTCAGCGAAAATTTAAGGGTGAAAATAAAGATCACACAGCTTACAACATCTCTTGGACAATCTTCATCCAAAGGCAATAAAATATCACCAGATAAATTTGGTTTATTTTTAATATTCGGAATAGAATTTGTATTATCTGCCTGTGTTGACTGTGATAATGAATAAGGAGTGGTTTGGGCTTCCGAATTTTCACCATGAAGATTGACATTTGTATTTTCACTTAATTCAGTTTTCCATATTCGTTTATTAGAACCACCGTGACCACTTTTTACTTTCGTAAGAGTTGTAATTTTTTCATCTTCATTAGAAGCATCACCACCATTTGAGAATGTTTCGGAGATATCAGAGTCTTGTATGTTGGAAGACTCCTCAACCGTTGTCGCGGTGACAGTCACCTCATCAGCTGGAGGAGCAGCTGGAACTAACGTCTCTTCTTCCGTTAAGATGTATGCGTTAGCACCTACTATATCCCCATTCGTGGCAGCCATACGACCGACTGACGATACTAAATCATACTGAGTATTCTGTAGAGATTTCGAAAGTTGATGAAAAAAAATGTTGAGATGAACAATATACCATTTTTGTACGGTATAGGTTATCATCCATTTATAGAAGATAAAGTAACTTAAAGTAAATTGTATGCTTTAGATTCTTTCTAGTTACAGACAACTATCCTGTTATCTTGTAGAAAGGATAATAATCCTACACTTGAGTTCATCTACTAATGTCAATGTAGCATTCAGCTTATTAACTGATACAAAATCATTAGGTGTGTTAGTCTACAAAATTCGCCAACTTACCGTCTAGAATGTGACGAGCTTATTCCAGAGTCATCACAGTGGAACATTACGATTTGCACGGGTGGTTTGCAATTCAGATCAATCTTTTAGTAACATGTACTTCCTGTTAGTATAATAATCAGTGACATGTAAATGAAATCACGATATTTGAACTATAATATTTACCAAAATGTCTCCTAATTGACAATGTAAAAACCGAATATAAACTTTGCATAGTTTCAGAAAAGACAGATACGTATATGACTTACTAACATGGCATCCCGAGCATCATCGTGTTGCTTACATTCAGCTATATCTAAAGGAGTCATCTCGAATTTGTTCTGGAGATGTGCGTCAGCTCCAAAACGCATCAACATTTGAACAACAGGTGTATGACCTCTTTCAGCTGCCCAGTGTAGTGCTGTCATACGTAACATATCCTTAGCACTAAGATCCGCTCCATTACGTAACAGAAGCTCCACAATATCTGCGTGACCCTCTTGAGCAGCTAAATGGAGAGGAGTACGATCAACTTTAGTCCGAGCGTCCCTGCTAATACCAGCACGTAGGAGCGCTTCACATGAACTAAGATGTCCATTCATAGCAGCGAAATGGAGAGGAGATATTCCCAACTATAAAGAAGTAATGAAAATTATAGCAAGCACAAAAAAAGAGAATTAAACGAAGAAAATTCTCTTTTCCGCGAAATCATTTGTTTACGCCGTACATTCGTATTTATAGTTGGGTTTTCTTTGCTGAATCCTCTTTATTTTTATTCAATGACACAATGGGTTATTTTAGTTCTATATATGCTAACAACTTGATACTATGAAATATCATTCCCAGTCTTGAGAAATAACAATGATAAATACAAATAGATTTTATCATCTGAATCAAAAAGTAAGCCTTTTTATATAAAACATACGGATCGAGAACCGTGTATAAATTTTGTGTTTTTGGGAACCCATAGAGAATTCACTTGTGGTTATCCCCAGAACCTTATCTGACAATTTGATAAATCAGGACGATTAATTTTGATGTCTGTGGGAAGGCGATAATGATTGGCTGTTTGCTTAGTCAGACTTGTAGGTTTTCTGACAGGCGTTAAATGCGCTATATATTCTCTTATCCTTATTATTACTGGATTGTTGTAGGTTTTTTGTGTGGAAATATATTTAAATTCTAGTCAGGCTAATCACGTACTCTTGGTCTGAGTTGTTTTGAATTCCTGTAGAATAAACATTTGGGGGGAATCTAGTGTAGATATTCGTCCGCGCGTTCTAACAAATTTATATTGGCACGATGAGAAAATCAACAAAATGAATAGAATATAAGGTTTTGAGGGAAATGATCACTTTGTAATTTATATAGCCAGAGGACCATCGAAACAACGGAGTAATGGGTAGCTATTTCTTTCCAGTATGAGACTCCTCAGAAGTCTGTACACACGAGGTTATGGCGAACTGTCGTCCGAATTAGTGACTTTAAATGGTGTTCGTCAGGGCTGTTTACTTTTCCCATTTTAGAGATAACACTTTAATCACCTGACTTTTCAGGGGTTTATCTTTAACCAGGCGATTCGCTTGTTGACGATATAGTTCTGTTTGCTGAAGACGCTGACAAAATGCAATCTTCCGACCAACTTAAGTAAAAATGGAAGTTTGTTTGAGATTCGGCTCTCTCTCCAAATGCAAAATGCTGCTTTAAAACTCGTTTGTGTTATCGCCTAAATTTATGATTGGGTGTGAAGTAACTGGGTGTGTCAACTGCCCCACTTATCTTAAAAATTTCATCAGTCCTTGCGGGCTGGTTTATGAAGAAACCTTGGCACAGATTCAGAAAGCTCAGTTTGCTTTTGCCAACATGAGCCACTTGTGGAGTACGTGAGATATCCATCTACCAACCAAAGAACAAGTTTACTGTGAAACAGTTTATGGGTGTGAAAAACCGCCATTAGCAATATAGAATATTCGTGGGTTACCAGTATTCAACCATAGGTGTCTCCGAAGCATTGCTCGTGTATTGCACCCACTAAGCAATGGCGGAATTGGGAATAGGGTACTATATAGGGATGGCAAATAGATTGAGGAGGTAGAAGCATCAGCATAAAGAGTGCATCTCTGTTGATTCCCTGAGCAAGATTCGAGAATGGAAGAACAACACACCGATCAACAACAGCAGAACAAAAGCAGAGAAAGCCAAAGTAAAGGCCGAATACACAGAGGAAAACAAATGACTGAAGAGGAGGATTAGGGCCGATAAACGGAAATACATGGAAGACCTAGCAATAACAGCAGAAAAAGCTGCAAGAGATGGAAATTTAAAACAACTATACGGAACAACAAAGCTATCAGGAAAATATGGTACACTAAAGCGACCAGCCAAGAACAAAAAAGGCAAACCAACCACAGATCAAAGAACGAAGGAAAAGGTTGCTAGGGGATTTCGAAGAGTTCTCCGGCAGACCGGGTCAGCTGAGCACACTGGACATCGAAGGAGTATCTACAGACCTACCTGCAGGTGTTACCGCACCAACAATCAAGGAGATCAGCCTGGTTATGAGACAAATCAAGGATGGCAAAGCAGAAGGACCAGATGGCATACCAGCTGAGGCACTTAATTTAGAATTAGAAGTAACTACGAAGATGCTCCATATTCTATTTGGGAAGATTTAGGATGAAAAACTGTTATATCCTAGCGAAGATTAAATTACGAGTAACTTCTGAGACCCATAATGGACTAATATTATCTATACATCCTTATGGTATAACTATTCAGTAATTAGATTGTATATATTTATGTTCATCTTATTATAAGCTTCATTTTAACCTATAGATTATTATTGTGCGATTTACTGTTCTTAAGTTATACTCTGTTTATTAATTACTATATCCCACGTTCACAGCCACTTCTGGCTTTATTGTATATAGATGTTATTTCCTATTTTATGGTGCGTTGCGGTCTGTTTGGTTGATATATAAACCCAGTATTTCTGAAATAAATGATTCTCATAGTAGAAGCTGTATTAGTGTTCTGGACTCAACTGGAACGGCTAGGCGAGCAAGGGACCAATAAGGACTCTAGGCTGCTCACACTGGTCGAACGTCATTGGTTTAGCACAGTGTGAAGATTGTATTTCGATCGGCGGGTAAATCACGTGATAACCAGCCGAACTTAAAGTCACAACAAAAACAAGTATCGACAGACTAGATAGAAGGATACCTCATTAAAATACTAAAGAAAGGAGATCTTAGTAAACGTGAGAACCATAGAGGCATTAAACCACTGACCAGTCCCAGGAAAAGTTTTCAACACAGTGTTGTTGAGGAAAATTCAGCAGGTGCCCAACTTCGAGATAAACAGGATGGATTCCGTAGGGATAGATCGTGTGTCAATTAAATCTCTACAATACGGAATATTGTTGAACAATCGGTTAGATGAACCTCGTCATTATACATCAACTTCCTTGACTGTGAGAAAGTATTGGACAGTACAGATGGCAGAACCTTAAAGCATCTTGTTCGACACTACGGTGTACCTAAGAAGATTGTAACCGTCATACGGGATTCATACGACGAAATACACTGCAGATTCGTGTACAGAGGACAACTAACAGATCCATTCCAAGTGAGGACCTGAGTCAGATAAGGCTGTTTCCTCTCCCCCTTTCGCAGATAACCTAGCTCTTCTATTCCATAAAGACCAACAAATGCAGGTGAATACAGCCAGTTTAGTGGCAGCATGTGCAGCAGTAGGCTTCAACATACACAAAGGGAAAAACAAGATTCTCAAATACAACACAGAGAACACCAACCTAATCTCACTTGATGGAGAAGCTCTGGAAGAGGTCAGAACTTTTACATATCTGGGTAGCATCATCGATAAACAAGGATAATCCGATGCAGACGTAAAAGCAAGGATAACCAAGTAAGGACAGCATTCCTACAACTGAAGAACATATTGAAATCAAAACAGCTGTCTGTAAGTCGACATCCAAGTCAGAATCTTCAATAAGAAACGTCAAGACAGTTCTACTGTACGGAGCTGAAACGCGGAGAACTACTTCAACCAGCATCAAATAGGTACAAGTATTTATAAACAACTGTCTGCGCAAGATACTCAACATCCATTGACCAGATACCATCAGCAACAGCCTTCTGTGGGAGAGAACAAACCAGCTTCCAGCTGAAGAGAAAATTAGGAAAAAATGTTGGAGGTGGATAGGATATACATTGCGAGAATCATCGAACTGCATCAGAAATCAAGCCCTGGCTTGGAATTCTCAAATAAAAAAGAAAAGAGGGAGACCAAAGAACATATGGTGCTGGGAATTGGAGGTAGACATCAAAATAATTGATAGCACCTTTCAACAATTGGAAAGGAGCTCAAGATAGAATAGTTTAGAGACTCCTGATCAACAGCTTATGATCCACGAGAAGCAACAGAAGTAAGTATATTAGGATGTAAGGTGCTGAATAAACCAAGCCTGACGTTTTAATTTATAGAAGCCCATGTCACGGAACATGCATAAATGCTAGAAATACATAGTTCTACTGTTCAATTACAACTTTCAGTCAGTCAGCTACAACGTAGGATCAGGCGCATATATGCATCGGTTCAAGTTGCTATACCTCATAAGCACAAAAAGAACACCAATCATGACTTTGTGAACAAGCCAAATAACTTACCCAGTCAGTAGTAAACGGTGCTCCATTATTTATTAAATTCTTGACTTCCTCGACATCTCCGTTTTTTGCGGCATCCAGTAAACGCTTGCCAAGATCAACCAAGGAAAAGGCTTGTGAGACATGAGAAAAAAGTCTTGGGTCGTTATGTGCCAATGGTATAATATATTGATTCATGATCTGCAAAAGTTAAGTATATCACAATGTATACGGATCAAAAAATGCAATACACACACAAGACTTCTTTAAAAGTAGTTGAAAATGGAGAAACTTGTATACTTCAGAATCCCAAGTCTATAATTACATACTGTACTGACACTCGATTCTGGGAGAATCAATCAAATTTCTAAAATATGATTATACGCTTATTCTAGACGAAACTTTTTATGATTACAGAAGTACAAACGAGCATAGCTGGTACTATTTATCATGAGAAAAAAATTGATGAGGCGATACTGAAGTGGAAAGAACCTAGAGCTACATATTTATAAATACATGAAAACCCTATTTTACTGTCTTGTTTTCTGATATACGTCCATTTGGGGATTTCGGTCAGTAATTCGGTACCATGATCAGATATCAATTTGTCATTTCATATTATTGCATTCTATTTACTGTTCATCAAATTATCGAATCCCCCTTTATAACAGTGAGGTTGAGGATAAAAATCTACTGTTAAAATGTCTATTACAGTGAATGAGTGGAAATCAATATTCATTCAGTCAGTGCTATCAAAATATTTTTAAATAAATTGAGATCTTAACTCCACCAGCAAATCCTTTATCCAGAATAAAATCCAGTTCAAAGACAACTTATCACAGAAAATTTCAATTCATCCAATAATACAGTAATTACAAGCAACGTTACAATTGAGCCAATGAAGTTTGAAGTCCCCGGTGATTCAGATCTAGTTGAAGCCCATTAGCCTTAATTTTCAGAAAATTATTGAACTGTCCAATCTTTAAATATTTCTCAACGCTCAGTTTACAGAAAATTCGGGCGATTAGCCGCCACGTACCAAATGAACGAACCAAAACCACTGACACTCAGTAACAGCAGGACGGTAATTTTAGTGCGCACATCGTGACAATTCAAATTATGCGACAAATTCCAAGCCTAAAGAGAGTAGAAAGTGAAATTCAAAATTTATGTCGGATTATCAATCAAGCAATGATAAAGGGACGTCTATGTTTATGTTAATGTCGTAGCTGTGGATGGTAAACAAAACAGAAAAAACAATCCCAATGAAGATCGAAGAACATACGAAACAAGTAAACAGCATTACCGTCTTACTACTATCACAAAAGAATCCTACACTATTTTGTAAAGGCGATATGATAGACAACGTCTTGGTTTATTGGAGAGCGAACAACCTATGAAATCGATAGTCTAGTCATTAATTACAATAAATTATGTCGATTTTGTGTTATCTTATTACATATAAAAACTGTTTTACTGAACAGCTGTCGCGTCTTCATTCGTGAGTTTCACTATCGAGAGTTGACATCAATTGTACACTTCGTATCATTCCATTCTGTTCATTGATTAGTATTCTGCCAATTTATTTTGAGAATCCGAAACCCATTTATCATTAATCCTCCTCCATGATAAATGAGTTATTCCATCAACATATTTTTAATGTCCGAATTCTACTGGAAGATATCAACATTCACAACCCTGAAGAAAAAAGCAGGCTACAGTCTGGAAATTTCCATTCTATCTCTGAATACATTGGTTAAATCTATCACGCTTCGTAAAGGTTGCGGGAAACAAAATATGAATGAAAACAATAAATAATCCTAGATGTAGACACCTAGTTGTATGAGTCCGAAATGGACATTTCTACATTTCTACTCATCAACTAACGAAATTATGTTTATGTATACTAAAATAACATATGATC